GAAATAAGCTCATATCTTAATTTTTTTCTTTGTGGCCTATTTAACTTGAGCAATTAAGCCTGAGGGGTCTCTTAAAACCTGGTACCTATGGTCTGCTAACTTGGATTAATCGGCCTAAAGCTCGACACGGAGTCATCTTAGTGTCTAATGTAGAAGAATCTGCAATTAAGATAAAAAGTTAATTAGTTGGAAAAATGAGAAAAATGTAAAAAAATATGAAAAATGTGATGAGTTGAAAAATATGGAAACTTTAAAAAATATTAATGTTCAAAGTAAGGGGTAGAAAAATAAAAATAATAAGTATATTTTTTGCTGTACTTTCATAATTTGACTTTCATAAGCAGAGGAATATACTTATTGGCAGTGATTGACTTGTCCCTTTTCACAAAATTAAAGATTGGAGTCTTGCTTGCATTGGAATAATGACATTTTACACACATGAGTCACTTGTACTTTCTACTCCATTCATACAGTTCTTGATATAATTCCCTTCAGCATTTGTGACAAAAAGGGAGAGAGAAATGTATATAACTGAGGGAAGAAAAACATGTAAAATAGCATACACATAGAAGAGCGACTACATTGGCTTGTACACGATTTCACTGATTGACATTACTTGCATTTTGCACTGCTATGTCTTATAGGGGTCATGGTGGAGAGACATAGATACATTGTGTTATTGCATTGAATTTATGAGAGTTTGAAGTAAGGGGGAGTAGTACATTGCATTCCATATCATATCTATTGTTGTTTGAGTTTTGATGTTTAGTGATATTGGTATTTCGGTTGGTGTTTTGATTGACATCAATATCATGTCTCAAAAAAGCATGTTGATGTGTTTGCGTTTATGTGCTTTAATTTTTATTTTCTGTATCACGTGCTTTTACACTGGCATGTGAGTTTTTGGATTTCGGGAAATAGGTTCAACAAGGAATGTAAGACTTAATGATTTGGAATATTCGGTAGTTTAGATTTTTGACTGATTGTAATCCATTGACTTAAATTCGCATAATTTTGTTACCGAATGCCAAAGGGGGAGATTGTTAGGTCCAATATTGTAATTGGCAATGCTGTGAACAAAATTGACTAAATTGATCACTTGTAAAAGTCAACGGCTTAGTTGCAATTTTGAATAGATGAGGTAAATTAGCATTGGAGGCATTGAAGGAGTCCAAGAAGACCATGTATGACCATCGGAATGCAATTAGAAGTCTAAAGAATGTCAAAGAGCCGCACAAGTTATGTTCCAAATTCTCAGTCGTAACTTCCAAAACATTTTTCACATAGAAAAAATTGGAATTTAGTCAAGGCTATTTAGGAGAATTGTAGCCCTTTGCGTTAGCTTTTTAACGTAAGTTGAATCACCTCAATTAGATATCGAGAGAGAAAGTTATGGTAAAAACATTTATAACTGGTTAGCTGTCACTCGATTCTCATTGGCTTTTTGCCTGAGCAAAAAAAAAACAGAATGGCTCTAGCTCGATTCTCGCTGAATCCTCACTCGAGTCAATTACTTATGCTGCAAAATCACTAGTTCGTATTTTTAAGAGTTTTACTCGACCCATACTACTAAAACACATTCAAATATAAATACCCAAGCCCTATCACGAATTTTTGGGTGGTTGTTCATTGTGTCTCTCTTAGAAAATATATTCTTATAATCTTTTTGAAGATCCAAGTGCATGTCTAAGCATTGATTCATTTTATTTATTCTTGAGATTCAACAACCACATATTGGGGAAAACATTAAAGGTCCGATAATCCAAACCACATGTCTTCCTTAATCTTTTGATGAAGGGACTCTCTCATTGGAGGATTGAGAGATGTGGATTAAAGCATAGTTACAAGTACAAGAACAAGCTGTTTAGCAGGAGGTCTAGCAGGAGGCTAGAAGAATCTACGACAATAGGAGGCTACAGGAGGTAGATAGGGAATTCTAGTGCTAGAGATGTCTATAGCAATAGATTGTAAGGCTATGGCAGCGGGTCTTAATGGGTACAAGGATAAGCTTGTACTTGTATTATCTGAATTGTCTATAGTGGAGGTAACTCGCTTGGTCCTGAAGTTTTACCCACGTTGGGGTTTCTTCGTCCTCATATCTTGTGTTATTTATTGGTTTCTACAATATTATAACTGCTGCATTCAAACATAGGATAATCGAATTGTTTTTTTAAACCACCTAGACATCTAATTAAAGTGACTTGTTGCTTTAACTAGTTTATTCCGTACGTAAGGTCGAATAATTTGTAATCTGAAACGTAAACTCGGTAAATCCTAAAAATTGTAGTGGTATTAGACTGTTCTAGATTCTTTCAGCCCTAATTGCTCTCGTTCAAGGCAACAAACCCTTTCCTCTCTTGCTCTCTTCCTCAGGAAAGGACCGCGGTCACAATTTCTTGGGAACGTAAATCAGCTGATGTTGCCTACATTGTCACAGCTGCCACTAGGGAAGGAGTCACTTCAGACAATCAATTGCTTGACTCAGATTTTATAGTGATTCTACCAGCACTTCTTTGCGTGCTGATCAGCACTTTGGGCCTTGTCTTAAATTTTGTAGTAATACAATGGGCACATCCGCTTTCCATCATCGTCTGTCTCTCCCCCACTGGCTCTGCCCTACATGCCACCGGCACCTGTACACTCTGAGCCCTTTCTTCTCTCTCTCTCTCTCTCTCTCTCAGTATATTTTTACAGATTGATTGGTGATTTACAGATTCAGTATAAATTGTGATTTGTGAATTTTGATGAATGAATAATGAAATTAATGATGAATTTTCAAGGAGTTGTTAGGAATTCTATGAATTTGAATGGGAATGGATTTTATGAAACCATGGGTTTGCGTTGGTTTTGACTCCCAAGCCTTTGGCTTTTAGTGGAGTGATGGGTGGGGAGAGGTTCATTGATCAGAAATGGAGGAAGCATCAGATGTTGGAATTGGAGATTTTTTCAAATAGGTTGGAGTTGGTGCATGATCAGATTAAAAGCAAGCACGGTTGGCGGAGAGCTCAAGTCCACGGTTTTTTCTAGTTTTTTTTTTTTTGTTCATTTCATTATGCTTGTTTTCTTGGTCGTTATGTATGCTTCCACCGAGAGAGTGGCCAAGTATTTGAAGCCTTCTATAGCTGGATTCCTTAACCAGAAGGTTAGCGGATACTTTAGACTTGTTTAAGTTATGTATTCTGTGTCTGGTCAAAAGATTGCTCATTCGAATATTTTGTCATGCATGAGTCAACATTTTGAAATGTAAAGTACCATTTTTTTCATAGACTTTGGAATTATAAGACTTGCAGGTGTTATTAAAATATTTAACTCGATGGTTGGTACTTTTGCGTCACTGCATATTTCTTTATAGCATTATGGTTGTTGGACATTTATTGATGCTAACATTTCATTTTTCTTGAATCGCATGCAAAAAAAAATAAAAAAAAATCCATTTAGTACAATTGTTTGTGGCTCAAAGGATCCATCAAAATTGGCATGATTGTGTCATTGTTAGAGAAGGTTGACACGCTCATTCTTGATGGAGGAATGATCTTCACTTTCTATAAAGCCTAAGGCCATGCCTTGGGATCTTCATTTGTGGAAAATGATACGCTTAGTCTTTGTAACATCATTTATGGAGGAGGCCAAGTCTAAGGGGATCCTTCTTTCTACCTACTGATGTCGTTGCTGACAAATTTGTTGCTAATGAAGATAGCAAGGTTGGTTTTCCACTCAACGGCATTTTGATAATGTTTTTGAGCTCTAGATGAGCCTTGTAACTGATTTGGTATGTGCTTTTTGTAGCATAAATTTGACTTGCTATAATTCTGAAATAACTCACTACCTAGCTAATGCAATAAATTGCTTACTTTGGTACTACATAATTATATGGAGAAAGATGGGAATGATTGCGGCTTCCAACAAGATGATTCTGTAGAGTAGTTACTGGAGTGTTACTCAACATTTTCGCAAGTTGTTCCAACACCTGTAATTCCTAATGGCTGGATGGGTTTAGTATTGGACTTCAAACTATCAACTCATTTGAAAAAAGCTCTAGATACTATGAAATTAGTCATTTGGATGGACCTATGGGTACACTACCAAAAAAAAAAAAACAAAAAAAAACAAAACAAAACAAAAGCTTTTTGCAACGTTTAAAAAACATTGCTAATGACTTTTCGCAATGTTCAGCCACATGTTGCAAATCTGGATGTTATCGTAGAGTAGAATGATATGACAACATTTTTTAAATGTTGTAAAAAATCCTTTCGCTATGTTTTTCATTTTTCGAGCGTTGCAAAAACCCTTTCACAATGTTTTTGGAACATTGCAAAAAACCCCAACATTTTTTGAATGTTGAAAATATATATATATATATATATATATATAATAAATAAAAAATAATTTGCAACATTTTTTGAGCATTGCAAAAAACCATTTCGCAATATTTTTGGACCACTGCCGTAGTTTTTTTATTTTTTATAACAATTTATGTAAATTGACTATCAAAATTGAACATGACTCCTTCTGAACAAGTTTTGGAATTGCATAAAAATTGATAATTTCATTACAAATTTTTGAATCCATACACTTGAACATTAGAATGTGATACAACACCACCTAAATACAAAGGAGCTTCAAAGTGAAACAAAACTAGGAATAAAATTTTGATACAGCTTAGGCATGAAGAGCTTATTGCCACGCTTGCAATACCAGCTTCCGGATAATACTCGGACGGCATACTCAATCATATTGTCCTTCATGCACTCTTCGATTTGCTAGCCACACAATTCACGACGGCCAACAAAGCTGCAAGAGAAGCATTGAATCAATATATATAAAAAAAAAAAAGTTCTTGTGTTTGAATTTCAATCAAATCATATATTATTTACGTTTTCTGCAATTTTACGGTCAGATGTCAGATCTAATATCTTTTCATATTTATTGGCGAGATGTAAGAGAGTGTTCGATTTACATTAGCGGACATGTAAAGCAAGGTTGGCATAGAACCACTGAGTAGGTGATTTACAACATCATTAAGAACTCATGTTAGACATCATGTTGTCAAACGACCTCCCGGGCGATGATGAAAATCAGTTTTATTAGTCGACATGAATGACTGAACGATAAATCAACACCGAATAATGGGATGACCCGACCTAACGTTGTTTTACCTATTGGATGGCTAATAACCTTTGTGGCTTGTTGGTGTGCTATTGAGCCATAACCCTAGTCGAGCCCACTTACCATATGTATAACTTACCTTAAGTTTGTCATTGGACTATTATATATATTGGTAACTCTCTTTCTTCCTATGAGTCCCGTTTTGATAGAACCCGAGAGAGAGGCAGTCCCTTCTTCTTCTTCGTGCATCCTATTGATTGATCTTCTCTACCTCTTGCTTGAGTCTTTGTGACCCTTACCTGTGTGGTATTCATCCTAAGTGAGTGAGGAAACAACAAGCAAAAGGAGCAATAGCAACCATAGGAAGAAAGCATGCCAGTGGTTGGTCCCTTTCGGTTTCTTGGTGTTGATTCGATGTTTAAAGGTTAACTGAGCCTGAAAATCACCTTGAGCAGCTAGAGGAAGATCCTAACAACTCACTACATCAATTTTCCGATCCTAAACCACATCTATGAGTTAGAAAAGGTATTAGTAAGATATCATGGATACATTAAAATCATATAGAGCAAACTAAGACTACATTACCTGGAAAGTGGCTCCATTGTGGACACATGTCCCGAACAGAAAGTGGCTTCATATCAGTAACTAGCAGCTTAAGCATCTCCTATTGATTTTGAGAACACATGAGATCTGATTACACCTACTAGTGCTTTTTCTTGGTAAGCTTTCTCTGCAGCAGTTACTACTTATTTGATGTCAATTCTTCCTTTCTTTTTTATGTGAGAACCCTAACAGGAATAAGAACTCAAACTAATACACTTGCTGAACCAAGCATGTTCTCTCCATCCATCAAATACACATAATGAAAAAGGAACCGTGGAAATCAGCAAGACGATAACTTAGTGAAAATACATAATCCAACAACTTAAGGGTCACTGAAATTATATTTAACAATTCTTGGAAAATCTGCTATTGAATCAGCAAGATAAGCTATTTAAAGAAGTTCAATTCTTATTTTAGCATCACCCCCTCAAAATTCAGACACGACATCAACCAATTTTATAAAACAAAATATATCTCAAAAAGTAAAAAAAAAATTGTTACGCCAAGGCTACACGGACTAGCTTCAGCATATCCAAGCTCTGCCAATTGCTAATAAGGATCTCAAAAAACCCTACAAAATTGGAAATGACAAGATCAACAACTAGAATATAGGGCAAATCAGTCGGCCATAATCAGGATACTGCTTTAAAGCAACATCAAAAACGTAAGTAGGATACTGCCATATAAATCACAAATCATGCCCATCTAATTACTAAAGCAACAACCAGAATATAGGGCAAATCAACAGAACAAAAAATAAGGAAAAATGAGTGTCAGGTTCGGGGGGTCGATTCAGGGCTAAGGGCTTCACCTGTTTCTTCAGTTCTTCTACTGCAGCCGAAGAATCACCGACATCAGGCGGTCAGGAACGCATCTACTTTTGCTGCTACCGTAACCGTTGACGCTCAAATCGAACAAACAGGACCAGACGGGAGCAGGTGAGCTGAGTAGCAATGGAAAATGAGAAGTCCGGCTCTAAAAGGAGGAGGCGGTGACAGCGGAGCTGAAATTGGAAGGAGTAGGCAGCAGTGGGGGCGAAGAAAGTAGTGATGGAATGGGATTGAATTTGAATGGATGGAATGGATAGAAGTTGTTCACATGAATGGTAATTATGGTATTGGGCTAAGCAGCGGGCTTCACTTTTTGGCTGGGCCTTGGCATTTGTATTGTTAAAAAAAAAAAAGTTGGGCCATTCGCATCATTTATCAAACGTTGCCAAAGATAAATATTTTGCTACGTTTGATAAACGTACTAAAAGATTTATCTTTCACAACGTTTGATAAATGCTGCTAAAGGTTTTTTCAGTGTTTGATAAACATTGCGAAAAAAGACTTTTTTGCAACGTTTGTCTTTTGCAACATTCGATAGACATTACAAAAAATAAAAAAATTTGCAATGCTAAATAAGCATTGTAAAAAAGCAACATTAGCAACAGTCACTTAAAAAAACGTTGCTAAATCTCAATTATTAACACCAGTGGCAACATTCACTTATTATAATGTTGCAATAGATCCTTTTAGCAACATTTAATTAATAAATGTTGGCTTTTGCATGTTGCAAAAAGGTATTTTTATCATAGTGCTATTTTTGAATTTGACAAGTTTTCCACAGGAACACGAGTATAATAAATAATAAGGTAACTCATAACTGTAAATAAATTCTATTTTTTGTCGTGTTTTACCTGGATTTTTGAAATCAAGTGCATGAATTGTTTATTCTTTTCCGTGCTATAGCTAAGAAAATTGGCAGAGCTTAGTGACAAGGGAGTGATATCAATCATTGGAGACAGTGATTTTGTTTCTACCATTGACAAGTTTGGGTTGGCTGATAAGATGAGCCATATCTCTACTGGAGATGATGCGAGCTTGGAACTTCTTGATAGCAAACCCTTGCCTGGGGTTCTTGCCCTTAATGATGCTTAAGTAGTGCTTTTCTTTGTCATGACTGGTTTTCAGCCAGACTAGCTGAATAAGCTAGACCTATGGGATGATGCTGTACATGCAAGGAAGATAAGCCATGAACATGGTTCACTTATGGTATAAATGAAAGAGGTTAATGCATTTGAGCAAGAACTACTTTAGCATATTGATATGATAACACTTGCACTTGAAGAGAATGATGCAGAATTGGAATCAGTGAGTCCTCAACTATTCTCTTTCTAGGCATGCATGCTTCTTTTCTGTTTATAGAGTTTCATAATGCTTTTATTTTTCTCAGGAAACTACTTATTTATATTATTTCGTTATTCTTTCCAAACTTCAACCGGTTTCGATAATGCCTTAACATTTTGTTTTTTTTACATGTAATTGGGTCATAAATCTTGATTTTCTTCTATCCAAGTCTCTTGGAAAACTTAGTTGGATCATTGTGATGTATTTGATCCTAAATTACTGCTGAGTTAAATGACTTTAGTTTGTTATTTTGAAAAATGTTATTTGCTCGTGTGTGTGTACAGCACATTATTAATTGGTAAATAAGTTAATGGTAGGTCTCATGAATTTAATGGTTCACCAATTAATTGGTGTGCCATGTTATCGGTGCTTAGGATATCATTAATAATAGATTTATTCATATAATAACTTAACTACAAGAAAATAGAAATACAAAAGTTGGTCTTTGGAGAGTCACATGGAATGCTTTTCTTTAATATTTTATGTAATCTA